TTCATTTTTAATGAGATTGATGATTACAGGATCAACTATCATTTGTGATAAAGACTATAATTAAGATTCAGAAATAAACTAACTATCTGGATGGGACTATTCAAGTAAAAATAAAGGTTAGTTTTAATTGCAAAATATCATTAGCATAGCTCTGAGAAATAACAATTTTTAAAAATGTGGATAATCATCTTAAGGAGGATTATTTTATCTTTAGAAGACTGAATTTACAGATTATTAATCAATATACAAAAAAATTTCAGGGTAATATGGTGGTGCTATATATGCATAGGATACGAATATATCTATGACGCAATCATAGTTCATTGGCAACGTAGCATAAACTGGAGGAGCATTATATGCTGTATCAAATTCTAATATAAGCATATCATACTGTAGATTCGAATAAAATTAGGCTACTAAATCTGCTGGTGCAATATATGTCTCAACTTAGTCAATCATAAAGATTATAGGCAGTTCATTTTAAGAAAACAAGGCTGAGGAAAATTCAGCTCTTGAAATTTTAAACACATTTATTAAGGAAAATGTCACAATTACTAATTGCGATTTCTAGGATAACTATTCCTAAAAAAATACTATATCAATGATTTATGCAAATGGGATATTTAAAGATCTGATTTTCAAGGACAATTATGCTAAATAAAGATCCAAAAATTTGCTCTTGGGATTCGTCAATATTACTATTCTTAATACTTTATTTCAGAGTAAACAGCTGAGCAGTAGTATTGCTTTACAAAATGATGAAACTATTGGTTCATTTATATTTTTGATATTTGATGTTATAATGGATATTGATAATTGCTAGTTTAAAAATGGGGCTTCAAAATTTGGCGGTTCTATGTACATTTCAGGAGATAGTATTATCCGAATTACAAATTCTCAATTTACAAATAATAATGCTTATTCGAAGGGTGGTGCTATCTATTCATCTGGTTTTAAAAGTATCTACATTGGAGAAGGTACATTATTCAACAATAACTCTGCACTTGATAGTGGTGAAGATATTTATATCACAAATTCTATTAATATCTTAACCCTCGATAATGTCATTTTATCAAACTTAAATTCAAAGAATTCGATATATATTGAATAGGCTGTTTTGCATGCATAAAATTTGATAATAAAAGATATAAATCAAAATAAATTATCAAAGAGAGGAGCTGGATTATTTTGTAATTTTTGTAATGGGCTTCTAATAAAAACTTCATAATTCATAAATTTGAAAAGCACAGAAGGCGGAGCAATCTACATAACAGAGATAGACTTAAACAAAGGAATCACATAGGAACAAAAAAATGAAAAGTTTGTTATTTAAAACTCTTAATTTCATAATTGCACATCAGAGATTGGTGGTGCCATAAATGCAGATAATCCTCAATCTCTTAAAATAATTAATTCTACTTTTATTAATAACAAAGCGAAAGTAGATTAAGATAGCCAGTTTTAAATAAAAAATAAAGGCTCAGGTGGGGCAATATATTATACTTGCAATGCTTAATTGCTAAATTGTAAGATGACATTAGTAGGAATAAATATATTCGAAGACAATTTAGCTGATATATAAGGAGGTGCCATCTTTTGGGATATTATAGAGCCAATTTTCACATTAAATTAACTGAAATTTTCTAATAACAAAGCCATGTATTATGGAGATAATATTTCATGCTTTTCATAAAGTCTTAAATCTGTCTCTTAGAGGGATTATTTAAATCAAATGATTTAATTGGGATTTTTAGCAAAAGATGATTACTTTATAAGGCAACTTTAAGAAGTAAACACTTCTTCAAATGATATAGAATCCTAAAGGAGTGGAGGTGTTATTCCTACTATATATATGGCCCTTAAGGATTAATATGGGTAGATAGTTGGATCAGATTTTTCTAGTAAGGTAAGAGTAAGCGTAGAGACTACTAATTTAGATAATAAGTAAAGCTTATATTCTCCTATACTTGAGGGCACTCTCTCCTTCGATATAATAGGAGGTATCGCAGTAATATAATAAATATCAATTGTTGGAAATCCTGGTAGCTCTTACAAGCTTTTAGTTACAACAGATGGAATAGATTTGACTAAGAAATCAAATAAGGATAAAATGAATGAAAAAGGTACTTAAAATCTAGATTTTGATTTAAAAGTTGAGTTAAGAGAATGCGAGATTGGAGAATAATTTACTGCTGTTGGAAAATGCTTGAAATGTGAGAAGAGTTTTTCATTAGTAAAAATGACATCTCCAGGTTTTTGTGAAAATTGTCCTACTGGAAAAGCTATCTGCAATGGAGGAGCTGAAATAGGCCCACAACCAGGATTTTGGAGAAAAGATAATTAATCTAAGGTATTCGTATAATGTCTTTTTGAATAAGCCTGCTTAGGTATGATTCCACCCAAAAACAATCCTTTAGGAGAATGTTTACAAGGATATTAAGGTATACTTTGTGCTGATTGTATAAGTGGCTATTCTAGGGATAATGATTACTAGTGTGCCTTATGTCCTGAGACTGCTCTAAATACATTAAGATTGATTACGATTTTCATAGCATGTGTTATTCTTGTTGTTCTCATGATAAGATCAACTTTGAGAGGTGCATAAGATATCAATAATGTTACAAGCATTTACCTTAAAATCTTGCTTAACCATTTCTAACTGATCCTTATGACAGCTTCATTTGATTTTTAATGGTCCTAGCAAATAGTTAGTTTTTTCACTACAACAAAATAAGTTGCAACATAATCAACTTAAATCTTTAGTTTCGATTGCTTCTTAGACACTGGAGGTGAAAGTAAAGGTTCACAGATGTCAAGAATATTCTTTTAAAAATTAGTTATTATAGCATTACTTCCTTTCCTACTAGCTATTATTTGTTCATTAATTTGGAATATCTACAAGAAAATAATGAAAAATTAAGTATAAATTGGAGGTAAGATAATGTCAAGTTTAGTTATCTTACTTTTCTTGGTACATCCAAGTTTAGTCACATACTCATTTAATGATTTTAAATGCAAAGATATTGATAGCTAATACAGAGTATAAGATGATTTAGAAATCATTTGCTGGTCTCCAGAGCATACATTTTACAGTTATTTCGTAGCACTTCCCTGTATCATAGTATGGGGGCTAGGAATACCATTTTTTGCATTGGCTATTCTAATGAGAAAAAGAAAGAAATTAGATAGCTTTGAAATTAGATAAAGATTTGGATTTCTGTATAGAGGATATAGAAAAGATTATTATTATTGGGAAATTGTAATAATGTATAGAAAAATCCTAATTATTTTTACAGCAGTGTTTATTAGCAACTTTGGAATAGTAGCATAAGCACTAATCGTATTCTTTATTCTCATCATATTTTTAATGATTAATTTTAAGAAATAGCCATTTAACACCCTTATACTCAATGATTTGGAAACTTTATCCTTAATTACATCAATGATTACAATTTACTGTGGACTATTTTTCATCCTAAATAAGCCTAAGGAATGGATAGAAGAAAATCCTGATTATGCAAGAGGCTCAGTATCATTATCTACTGGCTTCTAAAGATTATTTTTCGCTTTAATTTTGGTCTCAAATTTGCTATTTTTTACATACTGGTCTCTTAGAATGTATGAGGAGGGAAAAGCCAAATTCAGGGAGAAATTTACTAAGATCTATTTAGCTTTATTCTTGTGCTTTAATCAAACTAAACTGGAAGCCGAATTTATAGCGTATGATATTGAATAGCAAAATATTAACTACTATCAATAATTAAATAGGCAACTAAAGTTAATAAAGAAGCGATTTAGAAATGGAGATCTGAAATTAAATAAAAATAACATAGAAAGACTATTGATCAATCTTAGTTTAGAATAAATAGAAAAGCTAGTGAAACCTAGACAGAATGAAATCATTGATGCAGATCATTTTTAAAGAGAGCAGAAAAGGCTTCTTCATCGTAAGTATTCCTCTAAAATAGAGCAGACTAAACATTCTTTCCTTGGATAAGCAAATGATAAAAGTTCAAAAAAATTTTCAGCTTTAGAACAATAGATGGAATAAAACGGAATTGATCCTTTTGAAGATATAAGCTAATATTATCGAGATGATGATAGTAGGATTTAAACAATGTAGACTGAGGATTCTTAATTGGATTTAAATTTCGAAATAAATTCCTAAGATGCAAAAGTAAGAAGATAAAACTTGAAATATAGCTAACTTGGAGTATCCATTAATTTCTAGAATAAAAAAGATTTTTAATTAGAAAAGGGTTTTAGATATAACAGGTTTAAGAAAGATAAAATAAGCTAATTGTAAAAGGCAAAATAAAATATATCAATATCCTAAACAAACCTAAATAATGATGTCAATCCTTCAGCCTAGGATAATCAGGAACAAAATAAAAAATCACTCACAAAATTAGAAAATAAGATCTAAAACAACTAACTGTTATCTATAAAGAGAGATGGTCCTTCAATGCCTTATCAGACATCACTAATAGATTAGTAAAACAGAAAGGCACAATTCTCACCTCTTATAATGAAAAACTAATAAGCCTTACAATTTGAATCTTCAAACTAAATCTAATTAGAGTTTCTATAAGAAAATCTTAGTTCTAATGATTAAAATTCTGGTATCTACGAAGAAATCGCAGAAGAAGAACTATTTCAATAAGCTGAGGAGTTTCTGAAAATTTAGAATGAATATAATCAGAAAAAAAAGTAAGAGTATATCCAAATTTCAAAAAAATATAAAAAAAACAACAAGGTTGGTGTGAAAAAGGAAAAGTCTTCAATGATAAATGACTCAAAAGTAATCAATACTGTAATTTAGATATCTTAAAATAAGGATTTGTTAGAAAATTTGAGAACTACTAGACAAATGCAAAAGAAGGCACAATCAGAATATAAAGAATAGCAACTAAATATTGAATTTATTGATGATGATGGATCATCAGAAAATCACTCTACTAATAGTTAAAATTTAAGATAGGACAAGCTTCAAACAGATTATAAAGAATAAGAAGTTAAAGATGTTTCTAGCTCAGGAGTTGATTAAATTGATTATGAATAAGAAGAAGTTGTCTATGATGATGAGAATCTCATTATTTTTTCGAATAGAGAAGATTAAATTTAACAACATTAAACTAAGGCTTTTAGACCAACAAAATCTTTTATAATAAAACATAGCAAGCACAAACCTTAAATATAATTAACAGAGATAGCAAGTTCTAATATAGAGGACATAACTTAAAAAGAGTAGATTACCATACAAGATTAAAAAAATAGTTAGGCAGATCTTGATGAAATGGTTTTAGAGCTAATAGACTACACCTCAAGTTCAGAATAGGCATTTGATAACAATAAAAAAATGGATTAAAGTAAAAATCTTTCGTCAATTGACAATAATAATAATAGTAATGATTCTTAAAAGCTATTATCTTCTCAAAAATGAATTCAAAAAGTTTATGATTTTAACAAGAATATTTTATTTACAAATATATTTCACTTAATATTTTGAGATCTTATCTTATGGGGTTTTGGGGTTTTGGGGTTTTGGGG